TTATAGGTGCTCAGCCAAAATCTCCTCAAGTGTTTGCAGTTGTGTCCCTTGGGAAAAGGGGGTATCTGCTTATTGCCCTTTTCTTGGTCTGCATCTCCACTGCAGGTTCAGTCTCTTGACAGTGAAGGAACCATTGATGCTTTTAACCTGCCACCACAGTGTAACTTGGCTGGACATTATGAACAAACTAGGAAAAAGGCCCGTTGTGGAAATAAATACAACGACCTCTAGAAAGAGGCTCTGGGCGGGTGCCCCGGCCTTGGACATTCAGTGTCAATGTGCTGTGGTGACCTCAGCAGGGTATAATGACACTGAGTCCACCATTTTCTCCAGAGGAACTGATCTCTGCTACCTAAAGAACAGTTGTAATTTTGAGTGATCTCCAGCCCTCACCTGGAAATTGGCAACGATGGTTCCCCAGAAGGGAATTGTTGGTTTGGAAGGTGGAGTCTATGGCTTTGTACCTGTCCGAGGTCCCACGCCTCCTGAAACCTCACCCTCTCCAGGCTCCATCCCTCACATCTCCAGGAATTTCCCACTTGGAGTTGGCAACCCTATCTCCTTCCCAGCCAATCATCAACCTACCTTTATTTCCCCCTCACTCTTCAGTTTTCCACCCCCCACACACCTGCAGCCTCTCCTATGCTCTGAAGCCCTGACTGCTACGACACATTGGCTGTCATATGGGGGCCACCTCAGCAGCATATAAGGATACAGAGGCCACCATTTTCTCCAGGGGAACCAATCTCTGCCATCTGGAAAGCAGTTGTAATTCTGAGTGATCTCCAGCCCTCACCTGGAGATTGGACACGTTTAGAACGTTAGAGGCAAAAGCCAATCAGGTTGCATATGCAAATGACCTCTGTGTTCTGACTGGCTATGGGGGGGAGAGGAACAGCAAAATGTTTCGAATGTTGGACGCAGGACTCAGGCAAAGCAGCCAGTGGATAGGGAGACCCTCTGAATGACAGATCAGAGAGCAAACTGATTTTGGAGCGTGTGGAATGTTCTAGAGAAGTGCCACCACCATTTAGCTCTTATTTATAAGGGAGATGGGTGGCAAACTTTTGCTGGGTCAATGGTCCTCTGTACCCACCCCGACTCTCTTTTTCTCTCTGTGCAGCCATGAAGCTAGTCCCTGGTGATATCGCAAAACGGCTGGAGGAGATGGTGTTGCTGACAGCTCAGAATCTGCCCCAGGTGGAAGTGACCAGTAGTTACACCATCCTCCGGGAACTGGGCAGCGGCTCTTACGGACATGTCCTGATGGCAGTCCACCAGCGTCAAGGTGAGTCAGGAGCCAGGAGGCAGACAAAGGGTTGGGCTGGAGCAGGACCTTGAACCTATACCTAATTGGAGCCAAGTGATGTAAAAGCTGAGCCCTGAAACATAGCAAATAACATAGTGGAGAATGCTGTGGACCAAGGGACCAGTTCCCTGCTGCCACCTGGTGCAGCAGCAGAAGAAATTGGGCTAGAAAAGAGACACTGTGGCATTGCTGGGATGCTCTAGAAATCCTCAAATCTGTGTCTGAGTGGTTCAGGCTGCAGGTGGGGACTCACTGGACTGAACATGCTGCCATATGAAAAACGTCCCTGCACATACTGAAGGCCTGGTCCCTGACGTGCTAGTTTTCTACTTGGCAGACTATTCGATCACATAAGCCTCACCCGCAGTCTGAAGTGATACACCAGACACAGATCTGCCATCTCATTTTTAAAAAAAAATCTTTATCCCACCTGTCCTACGAGCTCAGCATGGTGTATGGCATTTCCTGTCCCTCGTTTTATTTTCACCGCAACCCTAGATTAGAGAGAGTGACCACTGCTTCTGTGGGGCAAAGTGGGGGTATGGACCTGAGTCTTCAAGATCCTAGTCTGATGCTCTGTCTGTTGCACCACACTGGCTTATCTGCTAATTACTGTTTTCATCTGTTCAAATAATTTTTATGGTTGAGCTCAGCATGGTGTATGGCATTTCCTGTTCCTCATTTTATTTTCACCACAACCCTAGATTAGAGAGAGTGACCACTGTTTCCGTGGGGCAAAGTGGGGGTATGGGCTCTGGAAACGCCCAACATTTCACCCTCTTATGTCTTGCAGGGACCCCCATGGCACTGAAATTTGTACATAAAAAAGACACAGAGCTGCAAGATTTCCTGAGCGAATACTGCATTGCGCTGACCCTGGGGGCTCATCCCTGCATCGCCACAGCCCTTGGCATAGCCTTCCAGACCCCGCAGCACTATGTCTTTGCACAGGAGCTGGCCTTGGCCAATGACTTCTTCTCACTCATGGTGCCACAGGTAACTCAAGCCAAGAAGCCAGGACTACAACACATGAAGTTCAGTTTACAGTTGGTTGGGCACTAGCGCCCCCTAGGGCAATTATGCCTGCAAAAGTTCTCCACCTTCTGTCTCCCCATGCCCACTTCTTCCCACACTTTTTCAAACGGCTGCATAAGAGGAGGGTATATGAGAAAGTGCAGACTCCCCTGAATCACTCCCATGAACTGCCATGCATTTCTGCCATCCTCTCTCTGGTCATCTCAAGCAGTACCAAGGCTTGCTTTTTACATCTGTTGCAATAAAAGTACCCCTGAGCATGTGCAGAGATCCCTAATGCCATCTCACCACAGAGTAAGCTCTCCTAAACACTTCACGGCCCTGTATAGATTTTAGTTCCTGATTACTGGGGACTAGCAACTTGCACCTGTAAGAATGAAAAATGTGCAAGGGACCCAGAGTGAAATACTGATCGCTTGTCAGACTGGGACCTGAGAGATGGGGGTC